AAGAGAGTCATACTGATGCTAGAAATAAGAAGACCTTGAAATAGCACCAGAAACAAACATGAATTATGAAAAGCATACAATAATGAAGTCACAGAAATATGTCATCTTCCTGGTTTTTTGAGGCCGTCTCACTGTGTAGCCCAGGGCCTGCCTCAGCCTCACAGGGCTGGGATGATAGGTGAGCACCACCACAGCTGCTTGCTTTCTTTGTTGAAGATTGGTGTTTTTAAATAAAACTTATTGTATGTGTATGTTCGTGGTTCTACTTATCTGTATGTACACACATGCACACATCAGCCTCAAAGATCAGGTGAGGGCATCAAATCCCCTGGACTGAAGTTACAGACTGTTGCAAGAGTCTGTTACCAAAAGTCAGAACTCAGTCCAGGTCCTCTGCAAGAGTAGCAAGTGCTCTTAACCACTGAGCATCTCTCCAGCACCTGAATCATGATTTTTTAGAAGTATTTGCTTAAAGAAACAGGCTCACAAACCATGGTACTCTGAATAGGAATGGCCCTCATAGACTCACGTGTGTGAATGCTTGGCCCACAGGGAAGAGGCGCTGTTAGGAGGTGTGGCCTTGTTGGAGTAGGTGTGGTCTTGTTGAATGACGTATGTCACTGTGGAGGTGGGCTTTGATGTCCCATACGTGTTCAAGTCTGGCCAGTGTGACACAGTCCCCTCCAGCTGCCTTCGGATCAAGATGGAGAACTCTCAGCATCTTCTCCATCATCTTATCTGCCTGGATGCTGCCATGCTTTCCACCATGATGATCATGGACTAAGCCTCTGGAACTGTAAGCCAGCCCCAGTTGAATGTTTTCCTTTATGAGAGCTGCTGTGGTCATGGTGTCTCCTCACAGCAACAGAAACCCTAAGACACAAACTAACTAACAAATTGTTTTGAAAAAAGAAAAAAGAAAAAGAGCTCTATGAGACCGGGGCCCATTCCTTACGGCCCTGCGGTTCTCAGTACCTACCGGCTGCCCTGTGTGGTCTCACCACAGAAAACGTGAGGTGCTGTACCTAGCACTTGGTTTCCAGCCAGCTCTGATTCTGACACTGAGGCTGACTTAAGGAGTGTTCCTTGCCTTCTGAACATCTGGGCAGGTGCCCTTCAATCCACACATGATCAATAAAACCAAACGAAGTTCTGTTCCTCGTCATGCAGGAACTCTGCTCCAGCAGTTTTTACCTCCTGTATCTAAGCTGGATACCACCTGCCACTTAGGTTTTATACTCATTTTATGCATGAGTGTTTTGCCTGGGTATATGTGTGTGCACCACGTGTGGCCTGGCTGGTCAAGGCAAGAAGATCCCCTGGAACTGGAGATACAACTGTATGATTGTTGAGACTTGAACCTGCATTCTCTGCAAGAGCAGCAAGCACTATTGAGCACTGACCCATCTCTCCAGGATCTATAAAATGTTTTTAGTACCTTGAAATTTTTGGAATTTTGAAAAATACCCACCCCTCTTCCTATTACTGGGCTAGGGCCACCTAACCCATGTGGGAGATTTTGGAGAATGCTCAACATAAACATTTTTGAGTTTGTGACAAGGACCATCTTCTTCCTACAGTCTACTTTGAACAAGCTTAAGCAGCACAGAACAAGTTATGGAAAGTTATTTACGGATGCCCTTAAAAAGAAAATTGAAGACATTCACCAGGGAAAGAATCCAAAGTCTTACATTCTTCTAGAAACAAGGGGCTTAATCAGGCTCCCTTAGCTGCCAGCACAGGCTGTGAGCCTACTGAGAGGAGGGGGTTCACTTCTCCAGTGCTCGTGGCTGTTGCCATGTGGTGGTAGAGGTCCTGTCTGGGAAACACTGAAGCAGTGGTTTTCTGAACATGTTCAGAATCTGAGCACGCTCACAGGCCCACATGGGATGGCACCAGTTGACCTCACAGTGAAGCAGTGGGAGTCATAGGCTTCTCTGCAGAGATAGGTTTTTGTCAGAAGGAGTACATGGAAGAGTGCCAGAGGAGGACTTTTCAGAAGCACATGGGGCATGAAAACCAGCACTCATAGGAGAACCATGGTCATGGAAGTGGAGTGTGTCAAAGCGGGTGGGAAGCTCCTTCCAATCCCTCAGAGTGTCAGGTCATGAAACTGGAATGTGCCTGCTCCTACTGTATTCTCCAAGACCTCCCCTATCGTGCTGTACCTGGCTATACAGACACGGCCTGGTCCCCATCTCCTCTGCCTGCAAGAACACAGCTGAAGGAAGACACTGTCACTAAGGTTCTGCATTGCACCAAAGTAAGACCCGCCCTCCCACACCATTTGACTGAAATGTGCTGTTCCTCCTCATTGAAACCATGTGATTCTTTTTTCTTTTTAATTTTTAAAAAAGATTTGTCTACTTATTTTGAGTATGCATATTTCCTTGAGTGTATGCATGTGCGTCACATGCATTCTGATGGACACAGAGACCAGAAGAGGGTGTTGGATCCCAAGGAACTGGACTTATAGGTAAGCCACTTATCCTGGGTGTTAGGAACTGAATGTAGGTCCTCTGAAAGAGCAACTGCTGAGCCATGTCCCCAGTATCCCAGATTTTATTTTTACTGTGTGTGTGTGTGTGTGTGTGTGTGTGTGTGTGTGTGTGTGTGTTGGTACTGAGTATCAAACCCAGGACCTCACTTATGTTAACACATGCTTTACCTGTTAGCATTTAGGCAACCTGCTTCTCAGTTGCCTAGTAACCTATGATGTCATCATGTGTCGCCTGCCAGGTAGACCGCACCTGGCCTTTGCAGTTCAGCTTCGCCGAAGCTATAAATAGACCACTGCCTCTTACCTCTCCCTCTTTCTCTTTCTCTCTTGCTCTTCTCTTGTGCTCTTGCTCTCTTGTGCTCACTTGCTCTCTCCTGCTTTCTCCCCTTTCTCTGTCGGGGCCTCCCCTCTCCCTATCATGTCTCTCTGTATCTCCTTTCTCTCTCTCTCAATCTCCATCCAATACACCTCTTTCATATTATGTGTGTGCACATCATTTCATTACCACTGAAATAAACCTCATGCCCAACTCTTGTATCTTATTGTTGCTGCTATTCTTTGAGACAGCCTTTTGCAATACTGCCCAGCTTGACAAGCACTTAAGATTCTCCTGCTGCAACTTCTCTTGCTAGGCAGTCCTGGCAGGCCAAGGCCTCCCTCTGTCTGAGGCTTGCCTCAGTCCACCCACCTCCATTTTTTCAGAACTTGAATTACAGGCATGTAATTCAATTGCCAAATGTGCCTCTTTGAACTTTTGCGCAAAGGTTTTGCTCAATCCTTGTATCTGAACATTGGAAGGAATTACTCAAAGTGAAAATAAATATTTCCCTCTAGTTCTTTTAAATTGCCATTGCGTATATCCATCGTACATTTTGCATACATCCATTGTACATGGTGCCATGTAGCATAAGAACATTTTTGTATATATATTTTTTACATTAAGTGTATTCTTTCACTTCTTGTCTCATTAGGCCCTTCTGTTCCCCTAGAGGTTAGGGCCTAGATAGTTTTGCTTTTGATTTCATATCATAGAAGACAGACATTTATCTTTATATTTTATTAATATTATATCTAGATAATGTAATAGAGAAATTATTTATAAATCTATGTAAAACCTAGGAACCGTATGTAAAAGAAAACACATGATATTTGCTTTTCTGGAAATGGCTTAATTTATTTAATATGACTATCTCTAGTTGTATCCATCTTCCTACAAATAACATAACTTTCTTCTTTATTTTTCATAAATTACATTATATGTATTTTCCTTAATTCCCAACACAACTGTTAGTCACCTTGCCTGGTTCTGTAGCTTAGCTGTTGTAATTAGTGCTCCAAGTCTTTCTGTGATATGTTGACTTGGAGTTAGGAGTGGTGTAGCTGGGTCATATGCTGACTGTATAAAAATAAATATTTTTAGAAATACAGAATCAAAACGATTATATGGTTGGATTGTGCCCGATTTGCAAGACCCCCAAAAGACGGCCAGGAGTTGAATCCATTTCAAAAGACATGAGGAGCTTTCTATTACAAGTGTGAGCTCGGGCCCACACCTTCACTGACAGAGAGGTTGAGAGTAGAGGCCAGAGCTCAGGGTAAGAGGGTGATTTAAAGGACCCAGTCCCTCCCAGCGCAACCAAGCGTCTATTGGTCCAAACACAAAAGGGGATGTTGCATTTTGAACTGATTGGCTGTGGGAAGGCATCCAAACCATTAACGGTCTGGTTTCCTTTGTTTGGCTTTGTTTGGCTAGGGCAGAGGGGCATCTGGGCCAGCTTCCTAGCAACTGTGGGCTGGAACGAATGCAGTAAAGCTGGTTCCTCCCTGCAGGTGGCTGGACATGTCTCCATCTATCCCTCCTTTGTTCAAGCTTGTTAAAGCTTGTGCTTTAAACTTAAATCCAATAATCCCCCCCAAATTTTTAATTCTCTGGCCTCTCAGTTGTATTACGGTAACAGACTAATATTCAAATGGGAAACATGGAGAGCTCAGTAGTAGACCTCTACGCTGTGTAAAGGACATGGTATTAAGAAAACTATGTCAGCCATCCTAGCACTCTGGAAGGCAGAGGCAGGCGGATTGCTGTGAGCCTGGTCTACAAAGCAAGTCCAGGACAGCCAAAGTTACACAGAGAAACCCTGTCTCCAAAAACAAGCGAAAAAGAAAACTAAGTCATGTATGAATCCCTTTAGTCTGGGTAGAGATTCAAATGTCAAAGTTCACACTGTAAAATCAATAGAAGAGTCCTCGGTTTTGGATTGGGAACATTAAACGCATCGGACTCAAAATCCTACCCTGCAAAACAAAGGCAGCAACAGGAAGTGAAAATACAGACTGCTGTTCCGGCTACATAAATGTAAATTGCAACCCAGAGACCCTCAGGACGAGGAACCTGCGCACCCGCGCTAGCAGGCCCTTCTAGCTTCCCGTCGCTTCCCCTTTCCGTCTTGGTCCCGCCCACCTCTGGCTCCGCGTTTCCGGTTCAGCCCGGAACTGGAACGCTTCCGCTTAGTTCCCCTGTCCCATTAGGTCTCCCGGCTTCTCCGAGGCTGTCATCCGGCGGGTGTTCGAGTTCACGGCCACGCGGCCCGGGTAGGGTCGCTTCGCCCCGTAGGTCGCAGCCCCGACCACCGACTTCGGGCGACATGGCCGGAGCCCGCCGCGGCCGCCAGGGCGTGAGGCCCCCTCCCTCAGCCCGCGCTCCCCGGTGGCCCCTGGGCCAGCGGGCACCGGTGTCGGCGTGAGCAGCCTCCCCGTGCCCACGGGCCCCGCGCTCACGGCCGCATGGCCTCCGAGGAGCCGCCGCCGCCGCCGCCTGCCTCCCCCGAGCCGGAGCTGGCGCAGCTAAGGCGGAAGGTGGAGAAGTTGGAGAGCGAGCTGCGGAGCTGCAAGAGGCAGGTGCGGGAGGTCGAGAAGCTGCTGCATCACACGGAGCGGCTGTACCAGAGCGCCGAGAGCAATAACCAGGAACTCCGCACGCAGGTGCGCGGTCCGCCTCAGCCCCGAGGCCTGACAGTGCCTCCCTGGCCGGAGCTTCTCTGTGGTCTTTGAAGGCAGTAAAGCCCAGATCTGTTTAAAAAAAAAAAAAAAATCACTGGATACCTTTGGAGCGAGCTGAACAGTGCAAGCCAGTTGGTTTGGACGATTGTCTCAGGGCAGGCGTGGATGAACTCCAGCATGGGCTACATGGTCGTGATCGCCTGTCCCGCTAGCAATGGGTGCATTTGTTATTTTTTTTTTTTCTAGGTGATGTTGAATTTTTTGTTGTTGTTTGTTTTTTGTTTAGTTCAGACGGAGGTCCCGTTCAAGGAGGCCTTGAACTCGCTATGTAACGGAGGATGACCTTCAAGTTCAACTTTTAATCCTTCTGTCTCCACTTCCCAAGTGCTGAGGTTGTGGGCTTGCTTTTCTCTCCCACCCCCACGTAGGATTCTTGACGCAGAATCTCACCCCATAGGTCAGCCAGGCTTAGATCCCAAAGTGTAGCCCCAGCTAAACTCAAACTCCTGGCAATCCTGGCAATCAGTCTCCTAGGCTGGGATTTCAAGCACGAAGCAACACCCATCCCAGCCTTTTGAGTTTGCTTAAAGCTGAACTTAGAATCTCATCGCATATCTTGAGCACCCTGTTGTTTATAAAATTTGATGGGTAATAGCAGCAATGAAAGTTAAAAGCAGGAACACACTTTAATTTTACACACTCTTGAGTATACTCCATGTGTAAGGTGATCTGAGTTATCCTCGGGTTCACTTGTAGACAGGTGTGCCTGTCGTAGTTACAGATACTACAAGTGTGTCTCATTTTCATAATATGTAGTAAGGATACATACTTGACAAGGATGCTTAACAAAGCAATATATTTTTACCTTGACCATTGAACAGTTGCATGCTATCCTAACAAATTATTTCTGGATACAAACTAAGTATTAGCTTAATGTTTTCTCCATAATTTAGTTTTTTTTTTAAAAACTACATTTCTAGGCTAGACAGAAATGTCATCAAACGTTGCCATACTATTCTTTAATGTGTGTGTGTGTGTGTGTGTGTGTGTGTGTGTGTGTGTGTGGTGTGTTCATATCTATGTGCACATGGAGACCAGAGAGGGCCATCAGGTGTTCTCTATAGTCCTACCCTGTTTTTTGGGGACAGGGGCTCTTCCTTAACCAGAACCTGACATTTTCTGGATAGCCTGGCAGCCCACCACTCACAGTTCTGGGGTTACAGATGTACTGGAGGCCATGCCAACTTGTTTTGTGGGCCCTGGGATCCAAACTCAGGTCCTTATGGGTTGCACAGCAAGTGCTCTTAACCACTAAGCCACCTCTCTCTTTTCTGTCTGTATTGTACTATTCTTAAGTAAGCTCAGAAAACAACAGCTAGGTTGAAAAGATTTCTGTTTCCATTGTTTTGAATTATATTTCTAGCCTAGAAATTTGAGGTTAGTTTGGGCAATGTAGGGAGACCTGTCTTGAAGAAGAAAGAAAACAAAATCAAAGTAAATAGTAGAGTGCTTGGAAGTATTCAGAAGGCCCTCTTTCGGGTCCCCAACACCTTGATCCCCCAGTTAAATGATGATGATGATGATGATGATCACCCATAGCAGAGAAAAATCTTGCAGCTTGCTGATAATTATAACTACCTTCTAGCCAGCATTCTTTACTGGGAGTATGGAGTGTGGTTATCATTCATCCCAAATCTTTGAATAAGTTTCTTTGGAGCAATAAATAAAGGATGACAAACAGAAAGCCATAATATATGCGGGTTTGAGGATTAACAAGCCTTTTGCAAGTTACTGTGTTTCTTAAGGCAGTTTTTGTGTAACACTGGCTTCTGGGCAACCATTTTGTAAAGTGGTTGTGTGAATCAGGTGTTCCTCAGAGTTCCTATATAAATGTGGTAGGACCTAGGCACTCCAGTTCATAGCAGTGGTGGTGTCAGCTAGTCAGGCCAAGGTACTTGGGTACTCGACCTCCCAGGGTGAAGGATGAGTGAGGGGTGAACTCCAGAGCAGTGCCTCCTCAACATTTCTCACCAATTTGTTTACCTCGGTCTAGCTCCAGTCCTGGTAGGAAGAGCAGATTTTACAATTCATAAAGTGCCCAGATAAACCTGTATATAACCATTCTCACAGCTTTTTCTGTTTTTAAGCTCACTGTTCATTAAGTATTTGGAAGCTTTTTTGTTGGTTTCTTGCATATAGCTCAGACCAAGACCCTGTCAGACTGAGGTGAGGTTCATGGGTGGAGGCAGTTTTCATCCAGTCCTGAGCATATACATACTACTGCCGTGGCCTGCACGGCATGTTTGAAGGGTGTGTCCATGCACAAAGCACACAGAGGAAAGATGCCACCTCTCTAGTGTTCTTGTTTCATTTTGCTGTAGTCATTTAGTGATGAGCGCAAAGAAGAAAAAATACGTACATAAATAGAATTGCTGTGTGTAAGTAAATAATTCCAAGTCACTGAGTGGTAGTAGAGAATTCAGTTCAGATGGAAAAGTGTAGTTTTAAATTGTAGGCAGAACTGTTGGCCTTTGACGCTATGAAGATAAACCTTTTGTTTTAGTTTTTTTCCAAGCTAGGGATAGACTTTGCCTGCATTTAGTTGGACTTTTCTTTCTTTGGTGCTGGGGACTGAACCTAGAACCTCATGATTACTGAACTACACTGATTACAGTGTCCACTACTGATCTTTATCCCTAGATTTTTGAAGAGATAATTTGAATGGTTTGCTTTCCTTCCTTTCCTTCCTTCTGTCTTCCCCCCTCCCTTCCATCCTCCCTTCCTTCCTTCCTTTTTTAGATGGGGTCTCACTGTGTAGCCCTACACTCAGGGATGTACCTGCTGGAATGAAAGGTGTGCACCACCCCATGCCCAGCTGGGATTTTGGTATTTGCCTAGGAGTATGAAAACATCCCTGAGTGGGTCACAGTGGCGTGTGTGGTTAGTCTCAATCATTTGGGACACTAAAGCCAGAGGATTATTTGAGCCTGGGAGTTCATTATCAGCTTGTACAAAATAATGAGATCTGTGTTAAAAAGGAAGAAAAGAAGCAGAAGAAATAAACCCAAGAGTCTGACTTAACCTGTGAATAATTATAGGGTTGCTGAAAAAGGAACCAACTGCTTTGGGCAAAGTCTAAAAGTCTTTGAAAATGTCTAAGAAAAATGTCTTATAACATCCCAAGAATGGTAGAGAGTGCTGTGTGTTACTGGATTGCTTTATGGTTTATTTTTTTCTAAAGCTCTGTTTCCTTTCAGGTAGAAGAACTTAGTAAAATACTCCATTGTGGGAGAAATGAAGATAATAAAAAGTCTGATGTAGAAGTGCAGACAGAGAACCTTGCTCCTTGGTCAACAGGTATATTCACTGTCTAGTGGGGCTACACTAGTACCCTTGGAACATTCACGACACATTAATGTAATGTTTTTAAAAAATAAAAGACAAAATATATAAATGTGAGGAATATGCTAATACTGATTTCTTTTTATGTCACTTTTTTGGGGTCAGTTTATGGGAGACAAAACAGAAATGTATTATAATCTCTAATTTCTTTAATGTTTGTATATGTTTTCAATGCTGCACTAAGTATTCTGTTCTTGTTGGTTGAGTCAAGTTCTCAGTATGGAGATAAAGCTAGCAGGCACTTGCTGAGTGGCTCAGGTTGGTTTCATTTGTACCAGCCTTGGGCTCTCTAGTGCTGCCCTCCCCCAGTATGTCTCCATAATGGTCATACTGCAGTCAGTAAACCTGCTTTTTAGCCCCTCAAATTTGCCTTTGGTTTTGTGGCCAGATTTAATGGGTGCAGTTTTGTGCTCATATTCAGAGTTTCAATGGGTGCAGTTTTGTGTTTGCTATTCAGAGTTTGCAATTAACAGTTAAACATTTCCAAATGCCAATCAGCCATTTCTTTCCTTTTGCTACAGATTATTATTATCAGACATATTATAATGATGATAGTCTTCCCAGTAAAGAGACGGAATTGTCTACACAGCAGAGTCAGTATGTTCAAGCTTCTACTCTTAATTCTAAAGATGAGTCACAAATAGACAATGATAGTTATGCTGATACTGATGTAACAGAATGTGTTAAACATGGACAAGAAGATCATTTCACCTCTGATTCCCAGGTAATAAAAGGCAAACCATGAAACTTGTGGCCCAGAAATTATGGACATAAACAGGATTCCTTGATCTACCATGATGCATACAAGAGTTATAAACAGTTTATATATAGGTTATATAGAGAGCACCAGTTTTGTTTTGTATTTTGCAATAAAGTTTTGCTTTGTTGCCCAGGTTGGCCTTGAACCCCTGAGCTCAGCTGAAGTATAGGAGTGTATCTACACACTTAGCTGTGCTTGCTAAAAACCAGAACCGGGAATATGTTTGTACTTGTGATTGTTTTTCTGTTTATGATTGCCTGAACTAAGAGTATTTGTCAGTATATTTTAACTCAGCCCATGAACCTTGGAGCTCAGTGCGATAACCCAGGAGGAAAAGGTGCTTGTTGTAAAAGCCTGGCAAGCCTGAGGTCATTTCCTAATCCTGGAACCTCTGTAAAAGTAGGAGAGAACCAAGTAAACATGATTTTCTCTGACATGTGTGCTATGGCATTCATGTTCACACTCACACAGGCTAGTAGGGCTTTAAAGGGCCTTGGGCACAAGAACAGTAGTCTGTTTTATATGCTATACCTGAAGCGGCGATTTGTTGTTTGACATGGGGTCTCACTGTATGTGGGCACTGGTATTGAATTCTCAGGCACAAACTGCCCTCCCACCAGAGCCTGCCAACTACGAAGTCCTAGGCATGTGTCCCTAAACTGGCTATACCTGGAAGTAAAGAGTAGTTTTCTCTCTCTTACCTCAGCTGCCAATTCCAGTGCCTGTATAGTAAATACCCCATCATTATTCAGATAGTTCCCAAGTGGCTTTCACATTTGTTTTAATTATGAACTTTTTATGTGATGAATCCCATTTAGTCTATAGTTTTCTCCTCCATCTCTAGTTTTAAAGTGTCTTTATCTTTGAGTATATTGAGCAGGTACATCATTTGTGTTAGAGAATATTCATGGTCTGTGTTATATGGGTGCTTCCTTGTGTTACCACACAGTTAGCTTTAAATAATTGTTGTCTTAAAAGTGCCTTTAAGACTCAGACAGGATTCTGGGGATAATATAGCTCAGTGGTAACAGCACTGGCCTCTCACATGCAGGCCTGTGTCTTCCCCACAGCACCCCAAAACATAACAAAAAAGAAAAAAAAAAATCAGGGTCAAGGTTAAGTTGGAAAACCCTTGAAAATATTGTGATTGATGACCATGTGTTTCCTTTACAAACGGGAAACAAGCTTGAACAGTGCTGGAGCCCACTCTGTGCATCACCTGGTGTGCTCATGTCTCTGCAGGAGAGTGCATCCGCTTTAGCAGCAGAAGGCACGGCCCTGGAAGGGGCATCGCTGGCCGAGAGCTTGAGAGCCGCAGCGGAAGCCGCTGTGTCGCAGACTGGCTTTACGTACGACGAGAACACAGGGCTGTACTTTGACCACAGCACTGGTTTCTATTATGACTCTGTAAGTGTCTCAGGCCTTCTGAATACTGTGGTGGTGTAGTTTTAGCTGCCTGATAGCAAAAATTATGCCCAAGCTGAAGTAAGAAAAGTAAGAATTGCTATTTAAAAGCTATGCTTGAGGCTTGGTGAATAGGCTTCCATCCCTGAAACTCATTCTCCCATGGTCTTATCTGCTAAAGATGCTGTCGAGGTAGTTTTTAAAATTTTGTTGACTGTAAATGGAGATATCCTTCATTTCAGATATCTCCTCTTCAGTTTTTCAATCTGCTTGTGCAAGTTTTCCTCCATAGTTTGAAATTCCACCTCCAATTTTCCAATTTTCTTACACTTTGTCCACTGCAATGTCTTTAGTTTTGTTACTAAGTGTTTAAAGTCAAGATTTTTGTGGGGTAGCGCCAGTATGTTGTTGTTTTCATATTTCATATGCAGCCTTCGCATTCATGCCTTGGCTTTCTGCCTTCGTAAAAGCTTCTTTCAGCTTTTGGTTGATGTGGTCAGTTGAACCCTATTAAATTGTTACCTCATATAAAATACAACACCATAAATAGTGGCACTTTCATTTGATGCAATTGAGATTAATTTTTTGCTCACTAGGGAAAGCAAGACAGACATTAAATGATAAAAAAAAAGGTATTTTTAAAAATTCATCTGGAAATACTATAGTTATTAAAACAAACATTCACTGTTTGAATGTATTTGCTGTTTGGTTTTTTTGTTTCATTATACATGACTAAAACTTATCGTCTTGACTTTGAAAGGAAAACCAACTCTACTATGATCCTTCCACCGGGATTTATTACTACTGTGATGTGGAAAGTGGTCGATACCAATTTCACTCCCGAGTAGATTTACAGCCTTACCAGACCTCTGGCACAAAACCAAACAAAGACAAAAAACTGAAGAAGAGAAGAAAGGAGCTGGGGTTTTGTACAGCAAATGAGGAAAAGGTAATGCTTTCTTGATTTTTTAAATTTTACAGTGTTTTAGTACATTAATTAAGCTACACATTTTTGAATGTAAACATTCTGTGTCACTGTATTTAAAATATGTCAATTAAGGTATCAAATTCTAAAAAATGAGAAAGGTTCAAATGAAACAAATGAGCTTATTTTTAACAAACCAAGTCACTAGAAGTACATGTTTTGTAAAATTTGAAGGAGGCGTATTTAAGTTACGTAAAGTATTTAGTTCAGGAGAACACCGAGAAATTGATTCACTAAGTTGGTTATTGTACAGGTCACCAAAGAACAACAGTTTATATGTTGGCACATACAGATTCAACTTTTTTTTTTCCCCCTTCGAGACAGGGTTTCTCTGTGTAGTTTTGGCTGTCCTGGACTTGTTGTGTAGCCTACACTGGTTCCAAACTCAGAGATCCACCTGCCTATGCCTCCCCAGCCTTGTGCCACTGCACCTGGCTCAGATTCAACTTTTTTAATCGAGTAGTTTCTCACCTATTGCAAACTTACTAATGCATTCCTGGTAAATATGGAATGAGGTCATTAGGGTTGAAAGGGTTTTCGTTTTGTTTTAAATGATTTATTGTTGCTGAGCAGTAGTGACACACCTTTAATCCCAGCAGAGACGAGGCAGGTGGATCTCTGAGTTCAGGGCTAGCCTGTTCTACAAAGTGAGTTCTAGGACAGCCAGAGCTACACAGAGAAACAAACCATGCATGCATGCATGAACACATGGACATGCAGGAACATATGGAGGCCAGATGACCCTCTGGAGCTGGAGTTGCAGTTGGTTGTGAATGGACACTTGGGTCCACTCAGGCACTCCTAACTGCTGAGCCATTTATCCAGCCTTGCTTTGTTTTGTTTTTTGGAAAGAGATTGACTATATCAATAATCATAAAGATGTTTTCATTATGTGGAAAAATTGCATTTCTAGTAATTTATATTTCAAGAAATTAAAGTGAGAGACAATTTCGTTGCTTAATTAACACAGTCATATGTATAAGAAATAGGAAAGAAACGAGGGCCTGAATATACCTTAGTATTGGAGAGCTCATGTTACATGTGCAGGGCCTGGGGCTAGATCCCTAGCATTTCGGAAATTATGCCATATTCAGAAAAAAGTGTGAGTCTAATAAACGTTGAAACGTTGGTTAGTTAAGAACATGATGACATATGTAAGGGAAGGGTGTTTAGATACGAAGATTGAAGAGACTTTTAAGATCAGTGACGATACCATTGTAATTAAAATGTTATTAGTGCTCTTATTTCTTCTCTATATTTTCTGTTCTCAATGGTTTTTTTTTTTGTTTTGTTTTGGTGACAACATCTAAATGAACAGAAAAGTCTCAGTGAAGTACTGAAAATAAACTTTGGGAGCTGGGAAGTGGTGATGGCCACACTTTCATCCCGGGAGGCAGAGGCAGGCGGATCTCTGAGCTGCAGGACAGCCTGGGCTGCAGAGTGAGCTCCAGGACAGCCAGTGCTATGCAGAGAAACCATTACTTGAAAATAAATATACTTTGGTCAGGATTTGTTCCTTTTACTAGAGTCTAAATTTTAAAGGCCCTCTTCTTAGCAATAAGGAGATTGTGAGAGGATCTGTGAATCTGGGTGATTAGAGAAAAGTACTTCTTTCCTTTTTAAGATCCAGCCAGGCTTGGTTCTAGGAAAAACATTTTCATATATGCATACACACGGGTGGGGGGGCAATGTGCGTCACTGTCTGCATATCAGTGTTTTTTCTTCTCTAACAGTCTGTGCCATGAAATCCACATCAAAAGCACCCCAAACAGTTCTACATTTTCCTTCTGTTGTCCAAGAAACAATAATAATAGTAAAGAATAGACTATTGGAACATGCTTTAAAAAAGCATATATGTAGCCAGGGAGATATTTTTGATCCAATTTATGTGGCTTGTAGAGTTCCTAATAGCTTTTTAGCTCCTTGCCCTTGTTCTTGCCCTTGGTGAGTTTGTATTGCTGAGAGTGTATATAGTTTATCACACTCCGAATGTTCATCCTGTCTCCAAACTCGATTTATGCTGCTATTAAAATTATGCTGTCATAAAGTAAATGAACTGAAATAAATAAATAAATAAAATGCTGTCATATTTTGTAAAATTACATGGGAACTCACTTCATTATATACTGTGTGGCAGAAAGAAAATTGAGACTGTTACATACCAACAGCAGCATACCAACTTTGTGCTTCATCCCAGTATAAATGATGCTTAAATAGTATCTGTTGTACAGCTGGTGCCTGTAGTTAGTGACTGAATTACCTTTCATGTGTATTGGAAATTGAACCCATGACCTTGCGCATACCAGACACATATCTCACTGCGGAGATAATCCCTAGCCCATGTATTACGTTCTTTGACAGTCACTCTGAGAGTAAACTTTGTGCTGTGACCACAGAACAAATCTAATGCACATGTTCATTGGCCTGATTTAGTCATTCATTATGCCATTATGCATGCCTTAAACTGTACATAATAAAAGTACGTTTCTAATTTGATATTTAAAATTGTTCATTCTTCATAAAGCATGCCAAAATTAATAATTAAAGGCTTATGGTAGGCTCAATTTTTAGAATTAATGGCATATTAATAGCTCATTTGTATTTTAATCTTCTGTACATTTTTAATTCTGCTAACTGTAAAATGTTCAGTTTAGCAAAATCTCAATGTTGGTACATTGAATAGTTTAAATCTTTTAAGTTTGTGTTATCTTTATAATATTTCTGTGTTTTATATATATTGTCTCATTTAAAAACTTAATAAAAATTTAGGGTTAATGCAGTCTCTAGTTTCATACTATTCAGTGTGGTAGCTGTATATGGCTGTGGACTGAAGTGAAGGTTCTGTGTTTGAGGATATGCTGTATGTACAAGATTTTGAAATAAGTGAATCTATTTTTATTTAAGTTTTTAAATGTGACTACTAGAAAATGTACAGGTATAAACAGGAGTTGCATTAATTTTTATTATGGAGCGTTCTTTTTCTTTCTTCCTTTTTCTTTCTTCCTTCCTTTCTCTTTCTTCCTTCCTTTCTTTCTCTTTCTCTCTTCCTCTTTCTTTCTTTCTTTCTTTCTCTCTCTTTTGTCTTTCTTACTCTCATTCTCTTTCTTTTTCTTTCTCTCTTTCTTTTTTCTTTCTTTCTCTCTCTCTCTCTCTCTCTCTCTCTTCCTTCCTTTCTTCCTCCTTCCCTCCTCCCCTCCCTCCCTTGCCTGAGTTTTATTTGTTAAAACAGCATAGGACACTGGTCATCCGTAAATAGTGTGTAGGTGGCCGTGTCACACCAGTCCGTCTGTCTTCACATTAGCAGAAGCCTTTCCTATGGGGCCTTCACAGGGGCCTGGCCACGTTTGGAAACCTGAGCTGGAGCTGAAGCCTTGGCCTTAGCTGGAGCTGCGGCCTCTGCCTTGGTTTGAACTTTTGGTTGGCAGAGACTATGACCTTTGGCCATGTAGCTTCGAATCTGCTTCCCAATCTTGGGGTGAGCAATGAAAGCTAGATGGCTGAATTTGCGCTGTGGCCCTTTGGCATTTCAGGCTTAATGGCCGCAGGCTTCAGGCCTTGATGGCCTCTGCTCGCGCACTCATTGCCTTTGCCTTGTTTGCCTGCATCTTCTTCAGTCCTTTCTTGTTGTGCTTCTTGGCAAAGCACATGTTCCTCAAGAACTTGCCGCCCACCCCCTTAAGAGAATCGTATCTTTGTGACCGGGGTTTCATGATGCCATTTCTGTGCCATTTGCGGGACTGGTTGTGTGTGGTGTGGTTCTTGGACTTGGCCGTGTTTGCATGGTAACCAGGGCTCCGGTCTGGGACCGGAAGAGCTATGCAGCTTTCTTATAGGCTGTTACTCAAGCCAGAGAACAGGTGATGAGGGCTTGGGCCGGGAATATTGGTGCCTTGAGAGTAACTGGAGGGACGGATTGGGCTATGGAGTGTCTCCCACTTGGACATTGCTCCATGTGATGTGAAAATAGTATTCTAAGAGTGACGGTGTCTCGAAGCAGGCCAGGCAGGCACAGAGTCTTTTGTGTTGGTGTCCAGTATCTTCCTGAGTCAGTGGATTCTATACACTGGTTTAGGGTGCTGACTGCTTTCTTCCTTCTAGGATTTGAGTTCAGGAGATCAGAAAGCCTGCAGTGTTGAGACTATAAATTGCAGTGAGGAAGAAAATTCTGCAAATGTGAAAAAGAAGGCCAAAATAGACGCTCCTCACCACAGCAGTCCTTCAAAGCTCACTGCTCCAGTTAGTGGAAGTGCTATAGAGTCTCCTGTTGATAATAATCCAGCTCCATCTAAGGATGAGAAAATCAGAGAGAGTGAAAGTGAACCAGAGGAAGGTGAAATTACAGACTCTCAGAGCGAGAGTAGTTACGATGGAGATAGTACCAGTGAGGACAGGGAGTCCTCAGAAGAATTCGAGGATGAAGGTTCGTAAGTAAATAATACACTCTGGTCATAAAAGAGCAGAACAGTGGGAGTGTGCTAAATAGAATACCTGCCTGAGGGCATACCATTATTTGGATGGCTTTGAAAAGTACATAAATGTCACTGTCAGCTTTGAGGAGTTTAGACATGAGAAAACGATCAACCCATTGACTTAAGAAAACTGCAGTGTATTGAATAGCTTCCATAGAACATAAAACTAAACCTTCAATCCTAATACACATTCAGGCTCTGCTGTTTGTGCTCTGCTTTTGCAATAGAAGAGGAAAAAGTAAATTGCCATTAAAACCATAATTCATGAAGTCACTTGGTCATTCTAACATGTTTACTTGATCTGAAGATACAAAACACAATATTTTATGTAACCCAGTCTATGCCCACCCTGGCTCTTAATAAAGACTCAAAGACCTTCTATTTATTAAAATCTTTAGGCATTATGGCGGGTCAGATATTCAGCTATTCTAACCCAACAGTACTGGCTTGGCCTGTGTCCTTCCACATGGCCTGTTATCCGCCATCTTAGTTTCACCCTGGCAGTCTTCATTTGTGTCCTAGTGGCCACTCTCTGACTCCTTACTTGAGACATTCTCTCTCTCTCTCTATTTCTCTTCTCCCTCTTTTCCTCTCTCTCCCTCCCTCCTGTCAGCTCCCCAAATCCCACCTTAACTCTAGCCCAGCTATTGGCCGTTTGGCTCGTAATTTAACCAGCCAAAAGGTGATGGAGAAAAATGTTTACAAATTATACTAAGGCAGGAGATCCTTCATAATAATGATAGTACCAAAGTTTGGCCTGTACTCAGCTCTGGGTACAGAAACCAGCATTTGAGTATATAGGGATAATCTTTACACAGTGCACAAGAACGTCACTCCAACAATTTTGCAGTTACAGTAAACACATTTTTTTCTTTTCTCAATAGGAAGTTATCTACTTTTAAGAGTTTTCTATTTTTAAGAATTATCTATTTTTAAGTTTTCTTGACCTAAAATAATTGGAAAATGTGTTCAGGATATTTTTCAAATTAAAAAAAAAATTGTTTTAAATTACTATTAGAAATGTTATATGTGTTGTATAGTTTGTGTTGGCTTCTGGCGGGACTCTGAGCTGGCTGGCAGACATGACTCTAGGCTGAGGGTCATGGCCTGAGCCCGAAGGTCCAAGTGTTTGAGAATTGAGCTACGGCACATCCCGTAGACCAAATCCAAGTTGCAACATCATTGAGGGGACTCTGGCCAGCACGAGGGTGGCTGGCATGGTTCTGGCAGGCCTTGCCCTTCTCCTCAGTTCTCTGCCTCTTGCTAAAAACCACTAGATTACATTTCTAAAGCTAGCCACCAAGTTCTGTTCCTTTATTTGGCCACTTCCTCCTCCTGAGGCTGACTACCAATGTCTAGCTATCAAAGTATTGAAGTCCAACAATCTAAAGCTCCCTTTGGCTCACCTAATTAACATGCCCGTTAAACACCTCATTCTAATATGGGTTTATCTTTATAAACTGCCATTTGCCTATGGGTCATGTTTGTTTCCTCTCTATCCAAAGGCAGTCCTTTGTTCCTCTCTGGGACAGACATCCCTGCCCCTTCTTCCTTGTCCCCTTCCCCATTGCTCTCATCCTCTGTCTCCTTTTTTATGTGCCCTTTGTTTCTCTGGGGCAAATAAATCTCCTTTGTGCAGAGACCTTGGTCTTTGGGGTCCTAAGCTGATACTGTTCCTTACAGCTACTCTAATGATAATAATAATTATAACAATACACCTTACACACACACAGAGAGCAGAATTTTAGAAATTTTTTGTTTGTTGCTATACTGGATAATGAACCCAGGATCTGACATAGTCTAGGCAGTACTCGACTCCTGAGCTCTGACCAATATAATTCTATTTTATGGATGCCTCCTAGTTATCTGTGTGAAGAATTAATTTTCATGGAACTTAAATTAATGTTTCCCTACCTCTTACCTTGGTAGATGAGGAAAAAATTTGGCCCCCCTGTATTCGGGTGATCGTCATTAGATCTCCAGTGCTGCAGATGGGCTCACTTTTCATCATCACAGCTGTAAATCCAGCCACGATTGGGAGGTAAGGGTGTTCCAGCGTGTTGCCTCTGAAGGTCTTTCACTTATTTCAAAAAGGCGGATGAGCAGTATTGTATTTAAAGCATTGCTCCATGTGCTGTAGACACAGGAAGGACTAAAGCAGCATCTTTATCCAAAGAAAGCACAGTCTAACATGAAAAATGATGTGAACAAATATATGGAAGCACATAGGCTGTGGAGCGTGAGTGTGGCAACACTGTGACCCGGTCACTGTCATTGCTGTCTTTCAGCATGTTCTCAAAATTACTGTTCACTTTCCTCACTGTTGCAGAGAGAAAGATATGGAGCATACTGTTCGGATCCCTGAAGTTGGTGTGAGTAAGGTAAGGCCTTTACTCCGAATTGACCCCTAAGAGGGTCGTGCTGCATGTGGGTGGCTTTCCCTGTGTCCCAGCACTTGGTAGGCAGAGGCAGGAAAACTAAGCATTTGGGAACAGTGACACATAGAGAGTTCCAAATAAGCCTGGGCTACACAGGATCCTACATAAACAAACAAACAAACAAACAAATAAAACAAAAAGGAAACCCAAAATCATTTTTGTAGAAAACTTAAAACTTTTTCTGTTTAACAAGAAGGTTAGTAGTTTAGTAACAGTGTCTCTTTCAGTGTTTGAGAAAAGGTCTTTATCACAGTTTGAAAATTATGGGACTTTTGGATTTGGGTTTGGCTTAAGACAGGGTCTCTTGTAGCCCAGACTAGTGTCCAGCTCACTAAGTAGCAGGGTCTTCCTTAAGCTCGTGGTTCCTCTACATCTACTTCTTAAGTACTACATAGGCATGGGCCACCGTGCTTGGCCAGGGGTTTTGTTGGGTTGTTTCATTTTGTGACAGCATTTTCCTCCTCTTGTTCCCAGGGTGCTCAAGTAATCCGGCCCCAGCCTCCTGAATTAGTAGTGTGTATCACCATGCCTGGCTAATTATGGCCCTTATAAAAGTCTGACACCAGAGTTACAAACATGGATTAATTTAACTTAAATAGTAAATGAGTATCCAATTAACTCATTTATCGAGTGAAGTAAATATGGCAGTTCAAAAATAATTCCAACCGTGATTTAAAGCAGTTGCTTTGAATCCTGTTGTTTTGCAATCCATGGTAATTAACCTTTTCTATCTCAGGATCCTGTTTTCAGCTTTTCTCAAAGTTTCAGTGGCTTCATGTTAGCAACAAAAAGTTATGTTTTCAAAACAAACAGAATTGCAGCTTTAAAACAGAAGGGAAAGGGCTTCTGAGGCTCTTCATGCATTTTCTAGCTGTTTTCACTGTCTCTGTGTGTTGCTGTTGAAATTGAACTCAGAACTTTGTGAATAGTAGGCAGGCATCTACGCCTATGCCTCTCAACTTTATTCTTAATCAAGTAATGTGACCCTCACAGAGACTTTCTATGATTTTTGTCTTTTAAGAATGGAATTTAGGTCAAACTGCTCTACAGAGTGAGTTCCAGGATAGCCAGAACTACACATAGAAACCCTGTCTGGAAATAATAAAACAAAAGAATAGAATTTATTTCTCATTATTATTAGGAAAGTTTTCCCCAGTATGCGTTTGTAAGCAGAGAATCCTCCTACCCTGGTCACTTAATTTGTGTTTACAAAAAAAAAAAAAAAAAACAAAAAACAAAACAAAAACTCCACAACCTGTAACATTAGTAGTAAAGAACTTGTTTCTCTTATTTCAGCTAAGCTAAAATGCAGAGAATTGTGTTTTTTGTTTGGTTTGGTTTGGTTTGGTTTGGTGTTAAAGTAACATCTAGTAAGTAAGTGGTGTAGGAAACAGCAGGCTGATGGCACATACAGCAATATTTCCAGGTAGGTGAAATCCATATACTGATTTTCAATTTACTTTCAGTTTACCATGAAAGAAAACAGAAACAAATGCTTAAGCATTGAACAGAATGCTTTATGAGTTCTAAAAATACAGTAAAATTCACACATAGGTAATTTTGACTAAGTTTGAAGATTCTTGTGTATTAAGCAAATTAAAAAGGCAGACAATGATGGTCATCACAAAACCATGACAGCATTTATTTACGTTTTGTACAAATGTATTTTCTCCAACTCCATTGTGATTGTCAGTAGACCAATGAGTCAAAGATATAGTCAGTTTACCATAGAGAGAATGTCATAGCTAACATTTGAAATGCCATCGCATCTTTAGAGTAATATATGCAATAAAAATGTAAGGCCAAGACTGAATTTTTATTCACATATTTATTAAAAATTGTTCCTTGTCCCGTCCAGCAGGAGTTCAGCGAGTTCCTAAGGAGGGGCGAAAAGAATGAAATAGAGACAAGGAGACACAAAGAATGAGAGCAGGCCTATAATCTGATCTCGCTCTCGTTTATTTGAAAAATTTCACACAACTTTATAGGGAGAAGGCAGGAAGGGAAAATGTGTCAGCAATATAGTTTACAAAACATAACAGGGTGATTAATGATGATGCACAACACTGCAAGAATGTTTACTAAAAGAGATACTACAAGAGTGTCAGCTAAGATATCTCAAAATGTCTAGCCTGACGCACAGATGTCTCATAGGTTCCAGAAACGTAAATAAATCTCTCACCTACGACCTTGTTGGCAGCTGTCTGTAACTTTCCACTAGCTGGCCTTGGCTCCTGGCAGTTTCTCTTGGTAACTTAGTTAAGAAGAGTTTTTTAGAGTAAGATTTGGCAGTGAGAAAACATTTGAAATCATTTAAAACATTGAAGTTATTCTAGATATTCTAAGTACAGAAATACGTAGGCAGAGGAACTCAAGTAGCTGTTACGGGAAGGTTCTCGGGGCTGGAGAGATGCTCAGCAGTGAGGAGCACATACTACTCTTACAGAGGACCTAGCTACCCACATCAAGTGGCTCACCCCCTCGGTAACTCTAGTCCTAGAGTTTGGGCATCCACACAGACCCCTCCCCCACAAACCTATACACATACACATAATTAAAAAAATAATTAAAAAAACTTTTTGTTAAAAAGATTTTCAGGAGAAACACAAAAGGAAATTAATGGTAAAACTTCATTACATATTCCTAGATTAATAGAAATTTTAAATTCTGACAATAACCAGGTTTGGTTAAGGATGTTTTAAAGCAACAAGAATTTTCATAGACAATGGGAATATAATTGGCACATCCACTTTCAAAAGCAATATGGCAGTATTTAGTTTAAATTTGAAATTTGCATATAGGGGCTGAAGTCAAGATGATTTATCACGTTAAAATGCTTATTGCCAAGCCTGACAACCTGAATTTGATCCCTAGAAACTAGACGGAGAGAAACGGCTCCCACAAGTTGTCCTCAGTCTTTACACACACATTCTGGTATGCCCACACCCTGAAATGCCCACTGTATGCCTAGTGTACAGATGGTTATAGTCGTCTGTGTGGATGAACAGGATGGGAATCAAATGCTGGACTCTGGAAAGCAGCCAGTGCTCCTAACCACTGAGCCATCTCTCCAGCCTGACCAGAGCAATATGTTAAGGATAACAATGCCCTAGAAAGCCTAGATATCCAGGTTGAGATCATTGACTGTTGGGTTATTCATCTAATGGGTGAACAGAGTATAGTCGTACCCACGACTTGGACTTCATGGCAAAGTGCTCAGCTTACAGAACACAGCTGCAGAGTGTATGAATAAAGCGCTCTGCAGGAGGGGCAGTCCCTTGTCTTGAAGATCTGGGCACTTGCTTCCTTGAGAAGTTCTCGAGTGGTTCAAGTCGGTGTATGTTGAGAACTGTGACGATATGCAGTGAGAGTAGTCAGGGAAAAAGTCAAATAGCACAGGGTAATCTTACCTATGTTTTAGAAGTAGAAGAGGCAGGGTATATATTTTTTCATCATAGTTAAAGGTGGAAGTAAGCCTCCATATGCATACCTGTAGCCAGCCTTTTGGCTACTTTATCGGGTTGTTTTTCCTTCCTCCTTACACCATCCCTAACGCTTCCAATACCCAACATTAGATAGGAGAGAAAGGTTGTTAGATGACTTCCTGCTGATTGGGGCCTTGAGTTCCTTGGGGCAAATTTGATTGTCATGGTCAGGGTATCTCCAAACAGCAACAGCAGCAGGAGCAGCAACAGCAGCCTCTCTTGCAGCTCTGGCATTTATATCCCCTCTGAAGAACCCCTAGAATTCGAAGCATAAACTATTTTCAGCTGGCAGAATCATGCCCCTGCCAGAGCACAAGATAAATCATAGTCGGCTGCTGTGGACAGTCTGAAGCAGCCCCATATTCCACACCTGAGATTAAACAAAACAGGGCTTTTAAAGAAGCAAAAATTCTCACTACATCTACTAGAGACTTTTAATAATTTGTGTTCATAGAAAAGCATTAAGAGAAAACATGTGAAATGATCAGAGACTAATGTCCACACTATTGTATTAGTGAAGTTAGCTCCGGGTTGAAAATGTGATTCTTTGTAATTGCTTGGTTGTTTTTCTTAAAGTTTCATGCAGAAATTTATTTTGACCGTGACTTGCAAAGCTATGTCCTTGTGGATCAGGGCAGCCAGAATGGTACCATTGTCAACGGGAAACAGATTCTTCAGGTGAGTAACTATGTAATGTTTACCTGTACTTCCTTGTCCAAGCTTAGGTCCTAATCATTATAGTTATCATTTGGTTCAGATCAGAGGTCAAGCCTAGTGTAACCTGGTTGGAAATTTCCAGAAAGGGCTAGAAAAAATGTTCAGTAGATACTGGTCTGTTGAGGTTTGGGTTCTAATTATGTTTCTGTTGGTGCTTTTAGGTATGAATGTATCATAAATCTTATTTAGATTATATATTCTTTTAAAAATTGTGTGTGTGTGTGTGCGCGCGCGCGCGCACGGCCACATGCGGAGTCCCTTCTTCCTGCTGAGCCGTCTCACTGGCCCAGGACTGAATATTCATATAAGCAGCTTTGGTGGCCCCCTTGTCCTGTGTGCTGCTGTAAATCCAGCCCAGGTTCCTTCTGTATGTCAAACAGATGCTCTCCCTGCAGTGGACCACTAGACATCCCTAACCTGGCCTTTTCTTGTCTTAATAGAAATAATGGTAAACTGGGAATTCCCTGAAAACCAGAATACCCTGACAAAGTGACTTAACCATGGTGAAGAAGGCAGCACTGTGAAGCGGGTAATCACCCGCTCCATATTGTGTCAGACTTCAGGAAGAGAGAGGAGAATTGCTAGCGCTAAGCTCAGTTTCTCCTAGTTGTTCAGTCTAGGACCCCAGCCCATGGCATGGTGCCACCCAAGTTCAGGTGGATCTTGCCACCTCAGTTAACCTAATCTAGATGATCCTTGACAGACATGCCCCGAGGTCCCTGTGAACTCTATATACTTCCACGGTGTGCAGTAAGTGACTAGATCCTGTCCAGTTGATAATAGAAACCATCAAGGAGACCTTGTTCTTATGCATCAAGAATGAAAGAAGGACTTAAATTACGAGAAAAGCCTAGTAGTTAGAGATTACTTACTGTGAAATCATGAGGACCAGAGTTCTGATCCCAGTGCCTGTGTAACAGCTGTGTACCCACAAACCTGACCCCACCCCTGAGCAACCTCTTTTATCCAACATGCTTGCATATGTGAGTATCTGTGTTCATGTGTACACAATGTAAAGCCATTTTTTTAAAGAAGATAAAAAGGTGATCACTTCTTACCATGTAGCTCTCCTCTGATTATGTGTTCTGCTAACAGACTGAAGTTTGAGTGGACTGGTGCGAAAGAGGATTGGTGGGCTTTGATAAGATCAGTATTATAAGTAGCTTTCGGGAAATATTATCAGGGATTGTGGGGGAGTCCAGAGTTCCAGATAAGTATGTGTTTTGCCACTAAGCTACTGTCATGGTCCTAGTAGTGTTTTTCAGGGTCCATCCCTCAAGTCATAGAGGTGGGCTGTGTCTCCTATTCTGAATATGTCTCTACAGTAATGTAACTGTGACTACTTTGTATTTCTGTTTCATTAATAATTTCTCATTTAGCCAAAAACTAAATGTGACCCTTACATCCTTGAACATGGCGACGAGGTGAAAATTGGGGAGACTGTCCTGTCCTTCCACATTCACCCCGGCAGTGAGACCTGCGATGGCTGTGAGCCAGGGCAAGTCAGAGCGCACCTTCGCCTTGATAAAAAGGACGAACCTTCTGGTACGGGAGGCATGTTCAGTGTGGGTGTGAGGAACACCTTTCAGAACCCTTTAATTCACTGAGTGTTTAAAATGCAGCGGTGGCCTGGCCCCTCTGTGCCCTTGAGCCACACTCCCACCCTCACCTCGCACTGGCGTGGGCTGAGTAGTGGCTACACAGCCGGGGCCTAGTTCCTGTGGCTACTGCAGACAAGATGCTGTGCTCTTCACTGAGTGCAGCTCAGGGCCAAGAAGCACCACTCGGATTTTGTCTGAACGAGCAGGGAGGGCTGGTCAAGGTCCTTTTAGAATTCTATTTGTGAATTGACTTTCCGAACAGTAGGTTTCCCGAAGGGGTTTTCATACATCCTTAGTGTTGGTTAGCCTGACTCCCCACCCTCCCGCTCCTCCCACACTCCCTTAACTGTTCAACTTGTCTTTCCTGTCATATATGCTCTACTTTTCTCCCCTCCCTCTCATGTGCCCTTTCTGCCTCTTGCCGATGCTCCAGGTTAAATGTACAAATTTACCTTTCCTTTTAACATAGCAGAGAGAATGTGGAACATTTTGTCTTTCTGGGCCTGGGTTAGATACCTAAGCATATTTTCCACTTGCTGATGAGTGGATAATAATAATATAATTTTTATACTACTATAATGAAATGTAAGATTATGATTAAGATTATGAAATCTGCAGGAAATGGTTTGAACTGGAAAATATACTAAGATAAACTAGTATTTTTTTTTTTTTTAGTAAATATTAATTTTCTGTAAAGTCTGTCAAATTCAAACAGTTTTTTCTTTTAGTTGGTCCAGCATTAAGTAAGGAGGAAAAAGAGTTGGAAAGAAGAAAGGCACTAAAGAAAATAAGAGTAAAGTATGGTTTGCAGGTAAGGCTGTGGAGTAGTGTTTCATTTGTTCAGTGGACCAACATTACATATAATTAAGTACTACTTACCACAATTAACTTATTAATTCTGCAGTTCTGGAGTGTATAACTTAACTGCTAAGGTTGGAGTTGAAATGTAGTAAGCTACATTTTAGTAGACAGTTCTGGTTTCCAAAAAAACATTCATTGAAATACTAAAATGCAGCAAGAGCAGATGCATAATTGTGTGGAATACAGAGGAGTTCAGAAGTAGGCCGTGTGTTATAAACAGAAGGTTTAATTTTTAAGTCAATGTAAATGTAGCGTGATGGAGAAAGGAGGCCTGTCCCCCTTCCCCAACAAAAGGTGCTAGAAGGGTTGCATGGCCTTATGCAAAGATCAGAAACCAAAGAAAGAACAATAAGAACAAAATCCGTGTTGTTCCACGTTATGTGCCTTGTACAAAATGACCTAGATGAAATCTGTCTACACTGATGTAGATGTAGAAATGTAAAGCATGTGCTTGTGAGATAGCTCACTGGGTAGAGGCGCTTGCTGCCAAGCCTGAGGTCCTAAGTTTGATCCCTGAGACCCACATGGGAGAAGGAAAGGAATGAGTCTCAGAGTGTCCTCTGACCTCCATGAGGTGGATTGGCACACACGTGCCAATACACCCAAAATGCTGGCTGCTGGAAATGTAGCAGGATCTTTAAATGTGAAACAAAAAAACTTAAAACCGGTAGAAATTTTCTGTCAGTACTACTAGCTGTTGAATTCAGGGCCTCTGGCATGCTAATAAGGGTTGTAGCACTGACCCGTATCCTTACCCCCAGGAAATATTTCTGAAAAAGAAAAGATTAGTTTTCTGGGTATGATGGTGCACACCTTTAATCCTAGCCCATGGGAGGCAGAGGCAGGTGCATCTCTGTGCGTTCACCCTGGTCTACAGAGTGAGATCCAGGACAGCCAGGGCTACACAGGGACACCTCCCATCCCCAAAGAAAAGTTTATTTTAACTTAAAATTCCTGGGAGACATAGTCCATTAATGTTAATGTTGGGAAAGGCAACATGGCAGGACCAAGGATCTGCTCACACAGGAAATGAAACAAAGCCCTTCCAGGAGACACACATACTCCTTCCAGCAACATTCTGCTTGCTAAAGGTTCCACACCCTCTCAAGCAGCACCACCAGTGGCGACATTTATCAAACAGGTACACCATGTTTTTTTAAAAAAGCTACTAGATTTTAACAAACACTTCCCAAGGAAGATACATAGTTGGAAAGTAAACACATGAAAAAATGCTCACTAAGGAATGTGGGAATGTGAAGGACCACAGTGAGACACCAGTAAGCATCTGTAGAGCGCTGTGGAAATATTAAGCTGACTGTAGACATCATTGGAAGGTTATGAGGACGCTGGAGCTCATGGCTGGTAACACTTCCAAACTGAGGATTCAGATGTCTTTTAAACATAACCATACTGTAGTCTTATAGTGAAGTACTATTTATCAGCTAAAAGGCGAGGACTGTTGAAACAGGGTGTAATGAGTGCCACTGCCGTACCTGGGTGCGTCTTTATTCTGAGTATGTCATACTACGTCTGCTAAAATTGTGTGTCCTTCCTGGGAAATCATTATGTTCTTTATATCCACCACCTGACACAGGACCTGACCACTCCATCCTGTGAGGATGTGTGGGGTAGTGACGGAGTCATAGAGACGGAGTTACATTAAAGCAAAAGCTGTTCTTCTCATTTTAAAATGACTCCTTGTTTTTTATTTCTAAGAAACAGGAGTAAACTATGTTGGGTTCTTTGGAATCCTTAGAGAAAGGGGGAAGCGGATTTTTTTCTCTCAATCCCAAGAGTTCAGATCTTATTATTATGTGTTCATACCTGGTGTCGTGTGGGCACACATTCCACAGTGCCATGTGGAGATCAGAGGACAGCTCTGTGAAGTTGGTGCTCTTTAATTTCTATGTGGGTTCTGGGGCTCAAGTTGCCAGGCCTGCAAGGCAAGTTCTTTGCTTCCTTGAGCACTTGTTCATGTGACCACAGATGGCCGTAACAGTCAGTAAAACCTACACTGGCTTTTCAGCATGTTACCTCATCGTCTTTTTGTTTATTTTGTAATATCACCTGAACAGCATGGATCGAGGATAGCATGTCTGATAACGGGTGGCTTAGATAGCCGTTTATTTTCATTCCTGTCTACAGAGGCTCTACTGAGCCATGTTTACTGTTACATTTTTATTTGTTTTCTTTCTTTCTCAATTAATGGTTTGTGATTGTTAAGAATACAGACTATGAAGATGAAAAAGCGTTGAAGAATCCAAAATACAAAGACAGAGCTGGAAAACGTAGGGAGCAGATTGGAAGCGAAGGGACTTTCCAAAGAGATGATACGCCTGCATCTGTCCATTCGTGAGTGTTGACTGATAACCTCTAAGACAGTTCTTGCTGGTCAGTCTTCTCACTTAGTAGTTTTTTTTTTTCTCTTGGTAAAGTGGTTTTGTTAATAAACATGAAAAATGTGATTTTGAGGTCTATAATGTTACCACATTTATATATTAAATTAGCTACATTGTTTTTCATTCTAGGTTGAGTCAATTGGAATCTTCCATGCAGAAATGAAAATTATGAAATTGTGATTGGTCTCTTTATTTCTCAAACTATACTATTTGTGCCAGGTTTAATTCATAATCACAGTTGCCAGTAACTTCCTTGTGCATAAACTGGGACGTCCTACTGTGAAGTGTAGTAAGTGTTTCAAGTTAGCTGCAGTAGGCAGAGGGCGATTACTTTAAAAATAGACAGCATTTCTTATGCAGAATAAGATGAAGATTACATTAGATTTAAGTTAGAAGGCAGAAATAATTGAAGCACCTTCTCCTGCTTTCCTTTATAAAAAGAAGCTGAAGTAGCACCCATACACCAACAAAGTAAAAGTACAAGATCAAAACCCTCACATTAGAAAATCCATCACATAGAATGCAAATAGGAAACAAGGAGTTCTATGTCCCCTTTTTATTGGTGCATTCATATAGACAGAAAAGCACCCTGTTCTGTGCTGACTGTTCAACCTTGGCATACTGTGGAAGAGCAGCACATGCATATTTGACCAGTGAAACTCACTGCCCTGTTCTTCCCAAAGTCAACCACCATCCTGATAGCAACAGCTTTCGTTCAGTACAGTATTCACATGGTATCTGTATTCTTTTTGTCTTATGTAGCTTTGCTTAGTAATATTTATTTTCATTGCTGTAGAACTTACTTTATGAATGTCCTCAGTCTGCCTCCAAGTGTGGACATATGAAGTGCTTATGATATGTTGCCATTGGGCTACATTTTCCATTAGGTAGCATCTATAGAGTAAAATTTGTGTCCCACTTTATGAAGTATTGTCAAACTGGTAGCTTTACCAGTTATTTTTATACATGAGCTTATTGTATATGTGGCCTTTAAAAACCTTTTATAAGTCAGTTATCACCTTAATTTTTCTTTACAGTGAAATTACAGATAGCAACAAAGGCAGAAAGATGTTGGAGAAGATGGGCTGGAGAAAGGGAGAGGGCCTGGGAAAGGATGGTGGAGGAATGAAAACCCCGGTAAGACTTGTGCTTTCTTTCATTCCTAAACTCTTTAAGTAGACACTGCTTTGTGTAGTAATGAGCCAAACGCTGCCTAGAGCTGGGCCTATAGTGGTAACCCAAGAGACACGGGTAAGGCCTTTGTTGTGTTCTCCTTTAATACGTGTGGCTTCTGTTTGCTATTTGTGCTTTGGGAAGGCCTTGTTTAGATTTTTTTTCTCCCTTAAATCAAGAGTATTAAAGTGTTATTTCCTGAACCGAAGGTTTTCTTGTGTTTTTAGTTGTCTGGGTTTTGGGTTGTTTGCTTTACCATGTTGGGCATAAACCCAGGGCTTTGAACATGTTAAGCAAGCACTCTTGCCAGCTGCCCTCACTCCTTTTCACATTTTAAAATGACTTTCATACTAGTCTGGTGCTGAGCATTGAAGGGACAGTTGCTGTTGGTTTACACATAGGCGGTTCTACATTACCTGGAGAGTCTGAGAGCCCAAGAGCCCCAGCGCATTTCAAGAGCAGTACAGAGAAGAATGTCTAGAAAACAGTGCGCCAGTTAAAATCTGTAGTCCCATAGTCGATGGGAGGAAACAGTTATTTAGCGCACGCGTGCACACACACAAACCCTTTATAAAGTAACTTGACAGTAGAACTCTTGTGGGAATTGATATCTGTCAAGACTGATGGACCACTAGCATGGACATGATGCTAATAATTTTTAATTGGAGCATGATGGAAAGAATGGTTTTATACTTAGACCTGAGTTTGTATGCACTTTATCACTGAGTCTTTGGGCATGTTTGAACTGATACTGCTTATGTAAACTGGACATGGTAAGAACCATTCTTTAAGAGTGTGCTGTACAAAAAGCCCCTAAGCTTGACATAAGCCACAATCTCTGGTAACTTCCTCGTCTCCTGATAGGGAAGTCAACAGCAGTCAGGTTCCCTCTCTAACTCTGCGTGTAGCACTAGACACCGAACCCAGGGCTTTGTGCATGCCATGCAGACACTCGAGCGTCTGGGGACTTTCCCAGGCCTCTTCTTCCTATTTTAATGCTTAGTCCTCTTGTGCATGTACTTGAGGAGCTAGGGTAAGAGTCCTAACTATGTTCGTGGCCTTTACTTTTGGTTAGTATGAAATGATCCCATTGTGTTCAGCCTGTGTCTGTGGGCTGTGAGCAGGACAGCATAGCTATAAATGTAGCCTAAACAAAACATAAACTTACATAAAACATAATGGACTTTTTATTGTTCACTTTTTGGGTAACTTGCAGTTTCAGAGCATGAACTTTGTATATAAGAACATTCATCACAGTTGAAAAGGACAAGAAGCATAGAGGTTTGATGAAGGCTGTTTAAGGAACGTTTTGTTTTTTTATAGTGTTGGCTGTACTTAGGTCTGGCAAGCCAATGCTAACAAAATGAGCTTTAAGCTCCATGGGAAATAGTACATGTATTCCTGTATGTTTTTATGCATTTTACACATTTTCTTTGCATGAGCCATTAATAAATCAAAGAATTCTAGTTAAACGTTTCCACACAGCAGCATTTGGTATGTTTAGGTTCTAAAACAGTTCCTTTGCTTAACTTTCATAACAGATCCAACTTCATCTTCGACCGACACATGCAGGCTTGGGAACAGGGAAGCCGTCCTCCATCGATGATGTTCACTTTCTCCAGAGTAAGAGCAAAAAAAACTGGGACAAAGCACGAGAGCGGTTTGCTGAAAACTTCACAGAGACGAAACCTCTAAAAGACGCCCCAGGGGCTGTGCCGTGGGTGAAGGGGAGTGCAGAATGAAGGCCCATCACAGGAAAGATCAGAGCTTCAGAAACTAGAGTGTGAAAACTTGATTGTAGATGTTGTGTCCCTAAAAGTCAGAAACAGGAGGAACTCTTAAGACGGCCCTGACCATACTTTTGTGGGGACGTGTGGTTTGCAGCTTGTAGGAAGCGGTTTCTAACTACAGGAACTGAGTAGACTCGTGCAGCAAGTGGACTAAAGTGCACAGGCACAGCTTCCAGGCTTTTGTTGTTCTCTCCTGTGACTTACCACACCTGTAGAGGGCAGTTAGCCATGCGTGCAAAAGTGAAATAACCACTAATGACGTCAGTGTACATTTGTCCTTTCTCATGTAGTCATTACTGTAAGATGCACAGACAAGAAATGTCAAACATTTTTCAATACTCCTATGTGTATACTTGTTTACACCTTTTAGAACTTAGGTTTTTTACAAGTCGAGAAACCATGGGCAGTGGAGCTGAATTTTATTACCCTTGAAGTAACTGCAGTGACAGTGAAGGATGAGCAGGTGACGTATTATAGGAAATTAGTCTTATGGTGTTTCTTCTGTGAAGAATGTCGATTTGTACTATATATTCAGCATTTGCCGTTGGTTTTTTCCTAGCTGATACGGACATCTGGGTGCAGTATTGGCATATTTAATGTGCTAGGATTTTTAGCTTTGCTAAGTCCCGTTGCAGGCAATGGGATTGTGCCAGGGAAACCTGAAGACAGGTGCAGGCGGCTCACTAAGCCAAGACTTCAAACACAAACATTTACTGGAAATGTCCTCAGATGCAATAAAAAAACATCTTAAAAGACTTTATGTCTTGAATTTAAACATACTGGTTTTTTTGTATTTGCACCCAACCAGCATTGTCCCCTTTGAATCAGCAGACCAATGGCAGAAGGAAAAGCCTCTGGGGGAAGGTGTCCTCTTTACCACTGCTGTGTCCCCCCTCCAACTGTTCACTGGGAAGTTGACACTGAAATTGTCCCCTTTTCTTGGTAGTAAGAATAAATTGTAGCTACCTATTTGGGAAAAAAAAAAAAAAGGCATGCCTTTGAGAGACAGAAACAATGCAGGAATTTCTATTATGCAAGGTGGGGCTCACGCTCCAGCGGTGCAGGCTATGTGGCGGGTGCCGGACGGTCAGGGTGACCAAGGCTGAGAGAGAAGGCCAACCAGCAAGGCCCTCGAGGGCGAGACTGGCAGGATTTGGCCCTCTAATTCCTCATTTGGATAGTGTTTCCTGTGCCCTTACAAGTGCACACATACGTGCAGGCACACAGAGCATTTGAAGGCAGCGGCAATCCTCTGCATTATTTTCTCTAAAATAAAAATCAGAATTACACTTTGGTGCTGGTTTCCTGAGTGGGAAAGAGTAGGACCTTCAACACAGCTTTGCTTTGGGTGCCTCTTCCATGTGCTTAGAAAAATGACTGGACTATTTCCCACATTTAGTCTCCTTTAGGGGAAGTGTTTTTCATAGGTCTTTTTGCTAAGAAAATGGAAAACTAGAAAACTGGTAAGAACTGAAATACATGTACATAGTATGTGCACTCTTCAACCTCTGCAGATCTGGAGTCTCAGGGCGGTACTATGTAGTCGTAATGTATTGAATAAATGTCTTTCTGTTCTGTCTGGAAAAGAACTTTATCTCACATGTCTCTTGTCAGAACAAAAGAGGAGATGTTTGTGTAACCAGCTGGGAAGCTGTAAACAATGGATATGAACATAAATGTGAGTTGCGTACAATTTGGATGATGTGTAAAGTTGTTTTAAATGCAAATTTTAAGTACGATAATCATGTGGTGCAGACTTGCTAATTTATGTAGTAGGTTTTAAGTGCTTGGTTTAAATTGAACTACAAGTTGCTGAATTTTAAGCAATTTAATATCTTAATTTTGTTCAGAACATGAAAAATGTACAGTTAAGGACTAACGAAGCCATTCACTTTAACAAATCATTTTCTGGTATTAAATAGCTAATGGACTCATTCCTACTCAAAAAGAGAGGACTTTTTTCCAGCCTTTTAAAGATGGTTACTTCCAGCGTTTACTCTTTGTTCTGATTGTGAACTCCAACTTGCCTCGCCCAATCAGAAGGCTTTCCGGTTTTTCATATGAAAGCCCATTTATTAATTGGATATGTTTCCCAGGTACAGGCGGAGGATAGAAATCACAAACAAAGAAAAACAGGAGTGAGGAACCTTGTAAAGTTGTGGAATAGGAAGTGTTCACATTGCCGGTGCCTGGGGACAGTATGGAATCTGGCACCTAAGGTGTCCTTGGGACAATGTGGAGGCAGTTTCTCAAGAATCTGGCCATATGTGTGTTTTTCTCAAAGTGTCTCCTTCATTTCCGCTTTGAATCTTTGATTCAGAGCATTTCATTTGCTTTTTTAAAATAGAATGCCTCCTCAGAGTGAGCTGGTATTTCTGAGTGTACCTGCCTATCAGGGTCTGGGCTTTGCCTTTTGCCTTCTTGCTTTGTCATAGTTTTGGCTGTGGCAAAGTGACTTTTGGAACTCTGGCTATAGTCATAGTTCAGGAAGAATGGTTCAAGAGTGGTGCTCGACGCCTTTTTTTTTTTTTTCAGGAAAGCCAAATCCAGCTGACACTTTAACGTCATAAAGGGACTCATGAAAAGCAAGCAACAGGTGGCCGCAGTTAGCTTAAGCCAATCGTGACCCATCAGTTGGGGCTGAGCATGTTGCCATTAGAGGTTGAGGTTCAGTGGACAGCAGAAGCGAGGCTAAAGATAGTAAGTAGAGAGTGGGTAACCATTGGCCAGGTAACCTAACTCTCCTCAAGTAGGGACTGTGTTGACCAAACTATGACGCATCCTTACTATCTTTGCATCCATTCAAACGGGGACTCTGTACACTGATACAGAAAATCTGTCACTGTGTTCTGATTCTTAAAAAGCAAATTATAGGATGTGTAGTCTCCATTCTATTTTACAAGTGGGCACACACTGAACCATTAGTGATCTAAGGAGTATGCAGATTTCTACTTTTAATTATTTTTTATGTTGAATTAAATTCAGGGTCTTACTTGTTCCTGCACAAGTGGCCTACTGAGCTGCACCCCAACCCCTACTGAAGAGTTGAGCAGGGAAGGGCTTTCGTTGGCTTACCCTTAGCAGGAAGGATAACTGATGAAGGGAGAAGAGGAAGGCTGGAGACATCGAGGGCTAATTTGGATGGCAAATCCTCAGCCTTCGGCGGGTGCTATGCAGTGCCAGAAGGCAACAGGCTTTGTGTGTGTCCTCACTGCTGTTTCTTCAGTGCCTAGCTCAGGATGGATGCCTGGCAGGTCCTGGGTAGTTTATAGCTGGGATGCAGTGTACATTCACTGTTTTATCAGGGACCACTGTAGGCACTTAGCTTGTATTCCTGACTCTCAACACTTAGGAATTAGAAAACCTAGGCTCAAGAGATCTTTCGTTTGTTGTATCTATTGGGGAGTTAGGGTAAATCCACATCATTGCCTGCATTTAAAAAACAAAGGAGGGATCTTTATTGTGTTCAAGGTCAAAACCGCTGCTTTCTGGAAGTGACAGTGACACCCCCACCCTGCCAGCTGAGGGTTCTTTCTCTTTGGGCAGAGATCTCAGGTACAGATGCAGCAAAATATATGTCAAGTGCTGTGTCTGGTGGCATTCTCTGACTGATGGCAGTGGGCCACTGGAGTGGGCAGGCAGAGGCTTTGCTATGGTCTCTGTGCCCCAGAGACCACAGCCCCCTCCTGTGCCCAACCTGGCAGTGGCCAGTGGTAACCGCTCTCAGGCGGGGGGCTGAGACCCTTGGTCCCAAACACTTGTCAGGTTCCTGGAAGCCTCCTGGCACTGGTACTTGCAGCTTTTCTTCTCTGGCTCTTTATAGCACTTCATCCTTTAGCCTCAGCTCTCTACTTCCTTGTCCTCTCTCTACTTCCTCCTTGCCCAGGCCACTCTCAGAATGTATAGCCACTGGCTCCAAATGCTGGTCTTTTTAACTTCCACACTGCAGCTCCTGCTGGGCCAACTATGGGACACAAGCCAGGTGCCTGGTGCCTCCGCTGTCTCCCACCTTTCCTCTTCACCTCCACCCCTTCCAGCTCAAACTGAAAGACCATTCTGAGGAAGCCTATTATTGGGCCTGCTTTGCAACAGCAATGGAGGCAGCAAAGGAGAGTGCCTCTGAGTGAGCCTGATCAGTCTCCTTGTGTAGCTGGGGATTGTGTACACCACACCACCACAGGCTGTTTTGGACAGTCACAGCCTTGCCTCAGCACCCGTTACAGTCATGGATTTGGATTTGGACCAACCACAGCCTTGTCCTGGACACCTTTACAGCTCTTTCTGTTAGGCCACCAGGGGTCGCGCTGCCCCTCTCGCCTAGGTGGGAATACTACAAGGTTATTTAGAGTTCTAGGCTTAACGGCAGCAAAGAGTCTAGTGCAAACTGTTTCGAACAGCCTGGCCGAGGTTACCTCTATGTCCACAGTACCACCAGCACTGACACTCATTCCAAGGCCAAGCAATAGGCCACCTCCTGCTTGGCTAGTGTCTTAGTCAGGGTTACTCTTACTGTGATTAAAAACTATCGTGGTCAGGAGCAAGTTGGGGAGGGAAGAGTTTAAAACCTTGGCTTACGCTTCCACATCGTAGTCCAGCACTGAAGAAAGTCAGGGCAGGCGCTCAAACAGGGCAAGATCCTGGAGGCAGGAGTTGATACAGAGGCCATGGGGGAGTGCTGCTTACTGGCTTGCTTCCCATAGTTTGCTCAGTCTGTTTTCTTACAGAACCCAGGAACACCAACCCACAGTGGGCTGGACCCTCCTCCATCCATCACTGATTAAGAACAATGCCCGATAGCCAGGCCTTTTGAAGGCCTTTCCTCAGGAGCTTCCCTCCTGTCAGGTGACTGGAGTTGACATTACACTGGCCAGTTACACCCTGCCTTATTGCTCAGCTGCCGCTGCCACTGCGGCACAGCTAGGGAGAGTCAGCTGGGGCCACTGTGGAGTCGCCCCCAGGCATCTGCAGCGTACTCAAAGTGGCTGGTTGTTGGCATAAATCCCAGCTGTCTTTTAGCACGACAGTCTTTTTGTTCAAGGCAGCCAGGACAGCAAGGTAGAGTCTAACAGGATCTAACGAGAGAGCCAAGCTGCCCCATCCCAGGCTGCCTGAGAGGACTTTGTAGGTTAAGGTGGCCCTGCCAAACTTGACCTGAGTTCCATCAGGACCAACTTGGTGGAAGGAAAGGTTGTCCTCTGACCTCCACACTAGCACTATGGCGCACATGCCCACACTCCCATAAGAGTAAATAAATGAATGGTAAAACAAGAACTTCCTGTTGTCCTCTCCTTAGCACTGTTCCCTGTCTGCAGGAAAATGATGTCAGGAGTACTCGAAGTACAGACTTACTTCCTAACACTAGTTGTTTGAACAGACCGGAACCATGCCCCGTGGCCCACGGAGAGGCCACCTTGGTGTGTCTGTGGAGCTGGGGTTTCAGTCCTTGTTCTTTTCATGTGGCGTGGTAGAGAGCACACGGTGAAGAGTTTGGTGGGCCTGGGTTCGGGTAGGGCTCCAGTCCCTTTGTGCGGAATGACCACTGGAAATGCACTGAATCCGTGCACCAGGGTGTTTCCCTGTAACCACTGGGAATTGTGAATGAGAAGGGCCTGTGTAGCACTGCCTGACAACCCTCAACTATCGGGGAGTATTAGCACTGTTTTCTTTCTGTGCTGTTGATCCCCCAGGGCTGTGTGTGTATGGAGGTGGGGGGAGTTGAGACCTGCAGTGGACATGTAGTTGACGTCAGGGAAGAACAGAAATGGGACTAAGACATTCACTTTGTTCCCCATAGTGAAAGGCAGTGGGTGTAGACAAGAAAACTGAATTAGGAACTGAGAGTCTCTCTCTCTTTCTTTTAGATGTATTTATTTATTTGTTTGTTTGTTTGTTTATTATATAGTATTCTACCTGCTTGTGTTGTATACCTTTGGAAGAACAGCCCGTAGTCTTCACAGAGAGATGGAATGAGCCATCTCTTCAGCCCCAGGAACTGAGCTTCTTAATGCATTTTGGAGAATAAGTAGAGGCTTGATAGGTAAGACAGAGAGAAGAGCTGGAAGCTATTATAAATGATCTTTGCCATCCTCAAAGGAAGAGGGGATTTGACAGGACTTTAGAAAGAAAGATAAGATTTTAGAAACTTGTCTTTGAGCAGCATACCCAGAAATCAGCCCTGGGGCTTAGCCCAAGCTGGGTGCTGTTTCAGGTTCTTAGTGAGATCGCAATGAGCAAGGGCAGGGGGACAACCTGCTGCCCTCATGGAGCCTCCATTTATATTCAAGTAGAATTAGGCAAAATGCAAAAGCCAAACCATGCACAAAAGGCCTCAGAAAGCCATGATTTTGATCCCAAGCCATTTTTATTCATTTCCTACTTTTAAAGCTAGATTTCTTGGGGTGAGGCACGGGGTGGATTTTTCTTCTTCTGTTATGTTTTCAGATCTGTGTTCAAACCTCTTTAGAGAAGTCTTGCCAACTCTGCCTTTAGCTATTTTTAGTCATATTTTTGAGGTTTGAGACATGAAGATGACAATAAAATCTTGTCAAGGCCACAGACCCTCATTTGATGGTGTGCCTTATCTTACCACCTGAGAATGGGAGCTGACAGCAGCATAGACACTGGGTCACACTCCTCAACCTGAGCAGCAAGTGATGGACATGCCAAACATCAAAACGGAAGCTGTGAGCCAAGCTGCTAGGTGTTGATGCTGATGGGGACAGTCCCTGGAGGTCAAGGGGTC